CATATGGTATAAAATTTTAAACTTTCAAAAAAATAATTTTAAAATAAATAAGTAATATTGAATATTTTAAAAATATATATTTAAAATTTTAAAACTGTAAAATTATGAAAAATAATATTAAAAAGATATTAAAAAATTCTGAAGTTATTAAAAATAGAAAACATGCAAAAAATATAAAAAAATATTTTAAATTTTAAATTTTAAAGATAAAAAAAATTAATAAAAATTAAAAAGTTGTAAAATTATTATAATAATTTTAAAAAATATAAAAATATATTTTATTTTAAAAATAAAGAAATTGAAGACCAAAAGAGAGAGAAAAGTTTAATGTACAAAATGAAGAAATTGAAAAGTTGAAGGGCAGCAAAAGTGAGTATAGCAATGTAGGCAAGGCAAAAAGCTTATAGCCCCATGTTCTGCTTTAGAAGGCTAACCCTAAAATGATCAAAGAAACCCAACTTCTCTCCTATGCCTGCCAGCTCAGCTTCCATAATTTCCATTCGTTTGAATATCTGTCTCTCGCTTTATCCCTTTTCTTTTCATAGTTAATTCATGTTACTAATTTTAATTTTATGATTCGATTAGTTGTGTTTGAAATCTTTTCAAGTTAAGTTAAATTTATAAAATTTGAGTTGAATCAAATATATATTTTTTTATTTTAATTTAATTATAATTATTTATAATATTATGATATTGATTTGTTTCAATTTAATCGAGTCTCTCTAATTGTATATTATATATATATATATATATATATATATATATTATTCTTTTACACATTCATAATTAAGATTTATAATGTTATTTCATAAATCAAATATCATCTAAAATTATTAATATATTTATAATACTATGTTTTTAAAGAAGATATTTTTAGAGCATTAAAGAGATAAAAGATTGATGGAAAAAAAAAGAAATTATAAAGACCTTAGTTGGAGGATCAAATTAAAATAAAATAATAAGCTAATGGACTAAATTGAAAAAAGAGGAATTGTTTTTGCCAAAAAGAGGAAATGAAGCTATACATGTACTCTATGATGGTTGTCGAAGAGAATGTGATTTAAATTTGATTAAAAAAAACTTAAAATGAAGAAAAATTAAAGAAACGAGAAAATTATAGATTAAATCATAAAATAATCGAATTATTTAACTAAAATAAAAACGAAAAATAACATAATTTTAATATTATTTTTTAATTATTTCAACTTTCAAATTTTGAATTTGAATTAAATTAAAATCTGAATCATTAATTTTAATATATTAGAGTAACTTAAAATTAATATTGGCATCATTAAACTATAATATTTTTATAATATAATATTATGATGGCAAACCCAATGATTCTGTCACCCATTGGAAATTTCCTTACGATGCAACTTTTTTATTAAAAAATGGGGCAAAACGCATGGCATAAATTAAATGGACGAGAGATTATTTTTTTTTTTGAAGTTTGAGATTCAAATTCTTATGTATACTAATGGATATTAATAGAGTAAATTAATTTGGTAGAGTCGCCTTCATAATAAATTTGTATAAAATTTGATCTGAATTAATTAATTAATAGATTAGATATTAATAAAAAAAATTAAGTGAATAAATTGCTTCATATTTCCGCTTTAAAGTTTTTTTTTATAATTCATAATCCAAACTAGTATTCGTTACAACTCAACCAACTCCCCCACCAACCTTTTCTTTTATTGTTGAGTAAAAACCGCCTACCTACCACCACCGCCGTCGGGGCTACAAGACCACCTCCTAAGATATTGTTGAGTAAGGTTAACGATATATATTAATTAATGTAGAAGGAGATGATAATTATTAGAAGAAAAAAAGGAGTTGAAGACAAACGTGGATGTTATAATCGATCAGTTCCAAGTTGTCATGAACCTTTGTTGTCACTTTCCTCACACATGCATGCCCTCACTTGATTGTGGTCCACACCCCTCTATCAGTCATTCTATTTATTTCCCAGATTCAGAGAACTCCACTTTGCTTAATGCTTGATTTTCTCACACTCTCTCCCTTATTTGATCATATACTTCAATATTTCAACACACATATGAATAGAAATATTAAGAACACAAACAATATTATATGAAAAATAAACGTTTGGCGATGGTTCGTTTACTATTCTTTTCTCGTTTCTTTGTTAAGTATTAGTGAATATGCATCTTATATGAGTATGATCATAGTCGGTTGATTTATATTTGTGGTTTGACATGTACTTTTATATGTATAATATTTGATTATTTTCAAAGAAAATTCAAATGTTTTTTTCTTCTAAAAATATTAAATTCCTTGTCTAATATTTATAACATTTTCTTTGTCTCTATTGTCAGTGTAGGTACACAATGATTGATTTGATCGTTAAATCAATTGATTTAGAATTGCTTGAAGACAACTCATTATCGCATTTCATGAGATATTTTTAATCGATTTTATCTCCTCTCCTCCCCCAGCTGTAAATAGAGAATTTGTGTAATCATTTCAACCATCCAAAATATAATTTTATTTAAGGATGTAATTGATTTACAGAATGTAAGATTATCAGTGGGAATGTAAGATTATCAGGAAATAAGATTACTGAGAATGTTATATTTTGTGTTTGATTGGTTTAGCATGAATGAAAGATTATCTTATTTGGTTAAAGTAATAAAAGATTATTGGAATGTATATTTGATCAAATTATCTTTATTATACATTTATTTTTTAACAAGTTAAAAAATATTTTTATATATATATTTTAAAAAATTTAAATTCATAAAATTTATATATATATATTTTTTTACAAAATTAAAAGTATAAAAAAGTTTAATGAAAGGGTAAAATTTTATTTTAACCCCTAGATATCATATAAAATTTTAATTATAGATTTTTATAATCTAAAATAGTTTAAATATAAATTTGTAATTTAACATTCGTAGAATTTTTATTATTCAATGACAGAAGAATGATATTTTTGAAGAAAAAAATTTAAGGGCATTTTAGTCCAAAACGCCGGTAATCCAACAATAGCTAAGAAAAGGGAGGTAACGACATTTCCGGTAATATACCCCAAAAAATCTACTATTGGTAATAAAACATTACCGGGAATGAGATTCCCGGCCAACCAAACATGGAAATGTAGATTCTATTCCTATGAAAATCCCACATTCCTTGATCCAAACAACCCCTAAGAGTTATCTCCCATTTCCTATTTTCTTTAAAGTTTCTCGAGTTTTTTTTTTATATAAAAATAATATCATCGGTTTCTATTTCAAATTTTAAGTATACAGAAATTGGAAGAATCGTGTTAATATCAAGGGATAATGTCTATTTCAAATATTAAACCAATCAAGATGATTTTATTTTTAAAACATTAGTTCTTCTACGACACAATCAAATTCTTTCTATTATTTATTTTCAAACGATAATAATGATTTATTTCCACAATAATACCCTTATATTTTCAACGTATATATGTTAAGTTATTACAAGAATAATCTTCAAATTTGTCCAACAGTATGCAAACACTCACTAGAGATATTATATGTTGATAATTTTTTACTACAATGTACAAAATATTTTATTAGAGCCCCCCCCCCCCTCAAATCCAAAATGGTCATGTATCCTTCTCTTGAGAAAATAATAATAATAATAATTTTGACATTATTTTTCCAACTTGCAAACTACAACTAAGTAGCAACAAAATAAGGCATTGCTCATTCACAACTTTGAAATGGAAACATTTTATGGGGTGAATGGGGACAAAAATGGAGGATTTTTCATAGGAGCGATGAATGAAATTGGTGAGAATGTGAGTAATTCCTACCGTGCAGTCTGTGATTTGGACCATTAGGTGCCGAATGCCGACATCCCTAAACATCATCCCTGGTCCTATCTCTATGTCATTGCCACCATTAATCAATCCCATCACTCATTTGTCCGAAATGGCCAACAATGGGAGGAATTTTAGGGAGAAATTATTGATCATAACACACCAATATTAATACCCCTCGACGCATTCAACACAAAATTTAAACAAATGTTCTTCACAATAATTAAATAAAATAAATAATCTATCGTGTGACCTAAATGGTAAAAATAAAAGTTATTTTTAGATATTTTAGATTCGAACAGTTGTATCTGTAAGGTATGTATATGTTGTTAATAAATTAAAAAATTCTAAATATTTTTTTTACTATTATCTTAAACTATTTAAAAATATATACAAATAAAAGTGTCGTAGAATAAATAAATATAAATAACAAGGAGTGAATAAATATTGGTATAGTAATGGAATATTTAATATTTTTAATAAAAAATCAAAATTAAAATGTTTACAATGATAATATCAAAACCCTAAACAATATCTTAAATAAAGGTGCGTATTCGATCGAGTCGAATCAAAAAAATTTAAGTTAGTTAAGTTGATGAGTTTTATTTTATAACTCATATTTCATTTGAAATTTTTTCGAGTCTAGTTGTTCGAATTTGTATTTAAATTTATTTATAAATATTTATAACATTATGGTAGTAATTGATTCAAATTTAAACGGTTTTCTATAACTATATACAATAAATAAATATATTTGTTCATATATATCTTTTCATGTGATATCCATGTATCATGTAGAATTGAGAAACTCAACTCAAACTTGAAAATTAATTTACTAACTAGTAAATATTTTGAGTTATTTAACTCTTATTTTATAACTTAAACTTATTTAAAAAGATCGATTTAAGTTGAATTTATAAAATTATGACTCGAATCAAATCAAATCAAAATTTTTAATATCCAATCGAATAAAAAATATTTTTTTTAAATTGAGTCGAAAACAGAGAGGCCCCACAATCCAAGTGGGATAATGGAAGCATGTGCGCTCATATGGTAGTTGGCTATTTCAGGCCCACAATGCTCTCTTTTCCTAAACCCCAAACTGAAAAGGAAAGCTAAAACGTGTAATTTAATTATATATATAACAAATAGGATTGAAAATGGGTTAAAAACCAGTTATTGGAAAAATAACAATAACAATAACCAAAAGGGTTGATCCCCCAACCTCATCTCCTCCCATAGTCTCCTCTTCTTTTAATTTTTCCATTTTCCCACTCCCCAAACAAACATCTCTGTCTTCCTTGTTGTCTGGTTGGTCTTTATAGATAATGTGTCAGAGAATTTGTCAGAAAAAACACTAAAAAGTTTGAGATTTTATCATTTGAGAGATCATTTCTGAGCACTGGCCCCCTTGTGTCAGAAAATCAAAATCTCTCTTCAATTCTTTCCGATCCATCCAAAAAAGGAAACCGCCGTACGATTGTTAGTTAATATATCTCCGTATCCATCTACTCATCCCAAAGAAAACCCTAGTTATTTTTATAGTAATATGGATTTGCAGAACTTGAACCCTAGCTCTCTTAAATCCAGGTTCACCGCAAGGTTCCTTCGTGCTCTGACTGAAATCAATGCCCCAAAAACCATCTCATCATCTTCTCCCAGAGAGATCTTCCAACGTTACCGAAGAATCAAGGTTGCAGCCGACAAGTCCATGGCTTACTCGGTTAGGTCGAGGAGAATTTGGAGTAGGGCAACCCTTTGGAGGCTCCGAACCCGATCACGCAGTCGTCGTTTAGTCTCTTTCGGCCGAAGAGCGTCGGTCAAGACCCGTACCACGGCATCTCATGGAAAAGAAAATAAGGAACATCATGGTGCTGTGCTGGGTGTTCAAGCGGAAGAGCTGAGAGAGCTTGTTCCAGGTGGTGAAGCCATGGATTTATGCAACTTGTTGGATGAAACTGCGCATTACATAAAGTGCCTTACCACCCAGGTACAGGTGATGAGAACAATCGCCAATCTCTACTCTATTGAGTGATTATATATATACACACACATATACTTATTACATCAGTGTTATATATATAGAATAAATATATTTAAATCAAGAGGAACAGATTGTTTAAAGGGAAAACTATTGAAATACAGAGATGAATTGTCTAAGATGTTAAGTATTTTATTTTCTGTAGAGATGATAGTTTTAAATCACAGGAACTTGCATAATTTCTGTGAGATACTGGGATTTTCTTTTATAATATAGAGGTTTAATTTAATCTTACTATTTGATTTCCTTTGATATCTTTTTCTTGTTTCTGGGTTTCTAATCATTTATAATTTCCAATCCTTTGGAAATACTGTTAAGGAGAAAATGAAGTTTTAGATCTTAGATTCAAGGTGAGACAAATGTAATTTAACTAATCGTACCATATGTGGAATAATTTACGACCCACACAAAAATTTAAAACAAAATTAAATTAAACTCGAGAAGAATCTTTTTATTTCAATAAAACAAAAATTATTAGTATTATTATTATTATTTTTTTCTTAGGGGTGCTGTGTTCATATGGAATCATTCCATTATCGTCTCACATGCTGCTTCCCATTCTTAGATTTGCGTCCCTTTGTGAATTATTTTAATGTCAACTAAAAAACAGAAAGAAATTCTTCTACACAAAACATGAAAGATTTGCATATTATCTCTTGTTATTATGATATTTACATATAGTTTTTATTTATTAAAAAAGTTGTTAAAGAATTATTGAAAAATATTAATAATTTATTTATTAAATGTAATAAATATTCTATTGAAGTATAAAATTATTAGAAATAACTCTATAAAATTATGCCTTGCTTATTTATAATATTCTGTTGAAGTATATAATTATTAGAAATAACTCTCTTACCATTTGAGAGTGAAATTATAACAAAAATATAAACATTATTTACTCAATTATAATAATAATGTCACTCTCCGATTTATTCCAAGAGATTGTAATATTGATGCATATCGTCTTGCCAAACAGGGTATTGGTTAATCCGTGTTTGTGTCCAGGGGTTTTGCGTTTATATGGGTGGTTTGCTGTGTGAGGGGTGCTGTTAAGTACAGCTGAGGTCCGAGGTCAGTTGAATTTATGTATTCGGATTTAGATACATTTGTTAATTTAATAAATTATAGGCACTCTTTTCCTGTTTCTGTTTCCTCTAATATGAAGAGGATTTGTAACGAGGCATTCCTTCCTATAAAAAAAATATTTACTTCTACATTAGAAGGAAACCTATTGCAAACTAAAGTTTTAAAAATTATAATTTAATTAATTTGGTTGAAGTTAAGCAAGAAATTAACATGCACATAATACTAATAAATTTAATGTCTAAACTCTAAAACAAAAAATAGTCAATTACTCACAACCTACAAAGTAGTTATAAATGCAATTCTCATTTTCTTTCTTAATTTGAACATTAATATGTAAATACACATGAACATAAACATATATCACAGAAGTAACAATCTATCAAAAGATTGTAATTAATTCTATGAAAATACATTTTCCACTATCTTCTCCCCTGGTTGATATATATATATATATATATATAAATATAGAAGTATTTACAATAACTGATCATATTAAAAGTGCATTTTCTTTTCTTTCCATCCAAACAAGGAAAAGGTGAGAGCTGTTATTGCAAATCCTTTTCATATTTGCTTTGCAATTGCCTGAAAAACATATATATGCATGTGGCTTGTTTTCCATTGAATTTAAAGATGAATTCAAGGTAAAGTAACCAGGTCTAGCTGGATGAAGTATTTAGATGTCTTAAGGATATGGTTAAAATTTCGTAAATAGAGTAATAGGATTGAAATAGTTGTCTTATAATAGATATTTATTGTATATGATCCAGATTATTCGATCAATAAACCATATATCGATAATAAATACAAATGTATTTAAAGATAAAAAATAATATTTTTCAAACTCTAACATGAGAATTAATTTGTCCCATTTTATTGAAAATCATTTCATGAATCATTCTCGTAAAAAATATATATGAACCTTCTTCACCACGCCATCCCAACTAGGAAAAATCATTTTTTTCACTTTTTTTTCTTCTTTTTATGTGATTTTTTAAGACTAAATCTTCAATTTTTTTCCTCATAAATATAAAAGTGAGTGATTACTTGAGAATTACTAAGAGTATATTAATGACAAAAGAAAAAGAATAATATGAGTGAATTTGACTGATTATGATGGATGATGTGGTAAGGAAAGTTCATTTCATTTGGCATAATTGGACTTACACATAACTAAAGTTACAATTAAACTAAAAGTTTATTTAAAAGAAGTTAAGGCAACAACCGTAATTCTATTTTTAAAGAAGAAGAAGAAGTGACTGATTTATCACATACGCATTTATATAAGGGTGAAGTACATAAATGATACTTCGTCTACAAGACATTACTTTTTTGAATCCATCTACTATAAAAAGTTGCAAAATGATCCCCTAGTTATATGATGTTGTTTTATTGAGTTCCTAATTATTAAAAGTTAAAAAATAGCCACTCAACTATTTATTGTTCAAACTCATCATTTTTCGTTAAAAAATTGATGGTCATCTTAATTGGACGTTAATATGTTGATTGATACATGATAAAAAAAATAATGATGTCTACTGGCACTGTTGTTGCTTTCAAGCACTGAGTCAACAACATAATGTTTCAAGCTCGACGACATAATGTAAATGGATAGTAGATACACAAAATACAACTTTAAACAATTATGAGATCATATTTTATTATATCTCAGTAAATAGATTAGTGCTAGCTTAGACAACCACTATTTTTTTAACAAAAAATGACAAGTTCGAAACATATAAATAGTTGGGTGACCATTTTATAACATTTAATAGTCGAGGACTCAACAAACTATTGTCCTATAGTCAGAGGACCATTTCATAACTTTTAATAGTCGGATGACTCAACAACGTAACACCTATAGTTGGAGTATCATTTGTGTACTTTACCCTTTATATAATAACGGAACAACTTACGTAGAGGCCAACGATTGCCGACTTTCCAATTCCAAAGGTTAATATCCGATAAATAGGTAGGGGAGGAAGTGTTAGGAATGAGCGGACTGAATATATCTTGAATTGAAATGTAAATGTCTTTCAATTTGCCCAAATCTCTCTTTATCCTCAACATAAATACAGGAGAGTAAAATTATAAATTTAATCTTTATATTATGTATAAATTATAAATTTAATCTTTATATTTTAATTTAACCATTTAGTTATTATACTTTTCAAATTTTAATCATGAACTAAATAATAACAGAAAAAATTACTAAGTTAAATTGTATTATTAGTATCTATGTTTCATATAAATTGTAAATTTAGTTCATATTCTTTAATTTAGTCATTTTTAATATGTCAAATTCTTCTATTAGTTTATGTATTATGTGCAAGTTATGGATCTAGTTAGGGATGGGCATGAGACCCGACCCGATCCGGTCGGGTTTTTTAAAAAAAATATTTTTGGATTCAGGTCGGGTCATGTTTTTTAATTGTGATGTTCGGGTCGGGTTCGAGTCTAGGGTAAAAAATACCCGACCTGAAAAAAATATAATTTTACCTTATATATTTAGGAATAATTACAATAATATCCCTCTATATATTATTTTTTTCAATTAAATCACTGTTTTTATTGAATAAAAATAATATTTTTTATTATTTCGGGTCGGGTCGGGTTTTTAAGTTATATATCGGGTCAGGTGAAATCTTGTTTTGGTTCGGTCGGGTCTCGGGTGGAGGATTCCTTGTTTTTGGGTCGGGTTGGGTAGACCAAAAACCCGACCCATCCCCATCCCTAGATCTAGTCCTTGAATTCTAATTTGGGTTGTTTATACTCCCTATACTTTCAAGTTCTAAAAGTTTGATATTGGCCTGAATAATAGTCATTAAATTTGTTAAGTCAAACTATACTATTAATCCTCGTATTATTCATAGGTTTTAAATTTAGTTTTTATTCTTTTGATTTGATCATTTTTAAGTCCATGTAATTTAGTAATATTATTTGTGTATTAATCGAATTATAACTATAATTTTACAATTTGAAAGACACATAGGACTAAAGTTGACCAAATTAAAGTATAGAGACTAAGGGGCTGTTTGTTTACTTCAAAATGATTAAGCGCTGAATGAATCAAATGCTGAATGATTCAGAGGCTCTGTATAAATTAGCGCTGAATGTGACATGCTGTTTGATAATGGCTCTGAATCATTCAGAATGTACTTCTGTGTTGAATCATTCAGCACTGTTTTGTTGAATCAGTCATCACGAAATAATTCAGAGGTGAGAAACAAACAGTCTGAATGTTGAACAGTTTAGCATTCAGCGCTGAATGGTTCCATTCATAGCCAAACAAACAGCCCCTAAATCAACAATTATTAGATGATATTCAATTTCACTAAATATTTATTTATTATTTAAATTAAAACAATAATATTTAGGTATAATGAGATATTTTGAATATGACTAACGGGGTTGGTTCAAGTGATAAGCATATTAATTCGTTTAAGTCGAGTTTGAAACTGTGTATGTAAAAAAAATTCACGTTGATAGATTCACTCATCAAAATTAGGTGTACAATGCGGACTGGTCCAAAATAATCCTAATGAAATCTGAAAATTAGGAGTGCAACCAAAAAATAATAATTTTTAATACGGGTAGAATGGAATGTTATCCCTAACTTTTACACCTGGTTTTTTAGGGGTTTTTTCACAATGTCAACCTTATAGTTCTACATTTTTATTTGGACGATCAACTAGCGACCGATATTTTATTGATGTGGCATAACATCTTATTTTATTATGTTGTTATAGACTTTGATATTATCTTACCTTATATATCACATGAGTTAATTATTTTAAAATTATAAAAAAATTTAAAATGTTTAAAAAATATTTTTTTCATCATTAGTAACACCCGTCTTGGAGTTGATAATTATTTTTTCCTTTTCTTTTTTTTATTGCCTGAGTTATGTTATTTTTTTATTTAATTAGTGGTATTTTTTATCTATTATTTATCTGCTTTTTTTAATTTTAACTCCTTTTTTGTAAGATTATTATTATTATTATTAAGTGATTATTTTATGCATTTTACTTGTTTCAAGAAAAATATCTCATTTATATGATTAGAATACTCTTATTTTATAAACTTATACTCTAATTCAAAATATTTATTTTTTTAATAAAATTCACTACAGCAAAATAGGTATATAGAGACGTTTGTCGCGGCGTTTTCAAAGAAAACGCCACTAAATTTGTACATATCATGGCGTTTATATTTAAAACGCCACGAAATTGTAACATTAACGGCGTTTCTCAAAAAACGCCGCTAAAACTCGTACTTTAGTGGCATTTATTTGACAAACGCCGCTAACGATCAGTACTTTAGTGGCGTTTGTAAAAAAACGCCGCCATAGAATAGTTCTTTAGTCTCGTTTTTAGAAAAATGTCACAATATGGTACATATATCGTGGCGTTTTTAGAAAAACGTCGCTGAAACCTAATACTTTATTGGCGTTTTTCAATAAACGCCGCTAAAATGTAATACTTTAATGGCGTTTTAAGGAAAAACGCCGCTAAATACTCGTATTTTAATGGCGTTTCTCAACAAACGCTAAAACGTAGTATTTTAGCGGCGTGTTTGAATAAACACCGCAATTTATTAGTATATTAGTGGCGTTAATGTACAGTTTCTATGTCCCACCCATTTAAGCCTCTTTCATTTTTCCCCTTCGTCTATTTTTTCATTCTCGCCGTTTACCCAAACCCATCTACTGGTAGTTTCCGAAGAGTGCTTCATCTCATTTTCCAAATTGTTTTCTGTGATTTCTCTCCTCTGTTAGTCACCCCTACATCATTCGCCTTCTCCACGTTTTACAAGTTTGTCTGTTTATTTGGGTTTTTTTTCATTTTTTTTCATTCCAACAGTCGTGATTTCTGGAATACCCATTTTTAAATATCTCTTGAACCCAGTGGATTAACAGTTCAATTTCAGTCCAACAGTCGTGATTTCATCCAGATCTTTATTGGGTTCTTCTTTGTGCGTGTTTTTGTTTTGATTTTCTTTTCTTTCCTCTGCGTTCTCCGGCTTGTTCAATCAAATATTGGGTCCGTCCCTTCCATATTGGACCAAGCTGCTGCTTCCACTAAATCTTTCTCTCTCTCCTTCTCATCTCCAAGGTTAGTGATTGGCTTGGGGGTCTATTACAGAAATCCTGAGGAAATCCCATGGGCTGAGGCTGGAGCTGAGTATGTTGTCGAGTCTACTGGTGTTTTCACCGACAAAGACAAAGCTGCTGCTCACTTGAAGGTTTTTGAAATTAATTTTAGCTAATGTACACTTATGGTCTTATTAGAACTAAGTTGATTGGAATTTACCCGACATATGTTTTCCAAGAGGCAGAGTTTTTTTTTACTTTTGGAGCCTAATTATTTTTCTTATATTTGTGTTTGGTGTTCTTATTTCGAGTTATGCTTTGTTGCTTTTCAGGGTGGTGCAAAGAAGGTTGTTATTTCTGCTCCCAGTAAGGATGCTCCCATGTTTGTTGTTGGTGTCAACGAGAAGGAATATAAGCCTGATCTTAACATTGTCTCCAATGCTAGCTACACCACCAACTGTCTCGCCCCATTGGCCAAGGTAATATTTGTTCCTAGTAAATTTATTTGTGCGTCTAGCTTATAGTTGTTATCTTTGAGTTGATGACATACTTCTAACTCGGTGGCAGGTGATCCATGACAAATTTGGCATCGTTGAGGGTCTTATGACCACTGTCCATTCTATTACTGGTTAGTACTTAAGCTCTCATTTTACTTCGTTTTGCAACCATTTGCATATTATTGAATGATGTTTCTATTCTTTTTATTCAGCTACACAAAAGACTGTTGATGGTCCATCAATGAAGGACTGGAGAGGGGGTAGAGCTGCTTCTTTCAATATCATTCCCAGCAGTACTGGAGCTGCCAAGGTATGTGTTATGTTAATTTTTAGTTTCTCAAATGCTTTATTATGCAATTTGTTACTGGAATTGAAGTTTGATGGTTGATAGTGATGGTTATCATGTAATCATATAGGCTGTTGGCAAAGTTTTTCCGGCATTGAATGGCAAGCTGACTGGAATGGCTTTTCGCGTTCCCACTGTTGATGTCTCTGTGGTTGACCTCACTGTGAGACTTGAGAAGAAGGCTACCTACGAGGACATTAAGGCTGCAATCAAGTAATGATTAGAATAATTATCTTATAATCATACCTTAAGTTGTCCTTAAGATAGCACTTTGAATTCTTTTCTTACCCCTTTTTTTGTGCATAGGGCGGAATCTGAAACTAACTTGAAGGGAATTCTTGGTTATGTAGAGGAAGATTTGGTCTCAACTGACTTTGTTGGAGACAACAGGTATGATTTTTTTAATTCTTTTTAATGTTGGTTTTCTGGCCTGTCATACGATCTTATGTTACTATGCTTCACATGACTTTTAAGAGTTTGAAATATTTTAAAATCTAGTCCGCATAACATAGCCGAGGGTTTTAGATTAGGAAATTGGAACTTATGTTCTATGCAATTTATTATCAGGTCAAGCATTTTTGATGCCAAGGCTGGAATTGCTTTGAACGACAACTTTGTTAAGCTGGTTGCATGGTATGACAATGAGTGGGGTTACAGGTAAATTATACTTGTCTTAATTCCGGTTTTGTGTAGCTCTAAGTACTATACCTTCAATCAGACTTGTATGCTTGTATGAGTTTTCTAATGGACTTCTTCTTGTGTCCCAGTTCCCGCGTTATCGACTTGATCCGACACATGGCTTCTGTTTAAGCTTAGCGAGTGATTGGATTGTGGTTGGTGTTTCCAAGCCTTTTGCCTGCTTCAATTTAATTTTAATTTAGAAGAGAGATGTGATGAGAATAATCGAATTGTATACGGGACATATGAACTTAATTAGCTCTAATTATTAATGTATTTTAGGGTCAAAGGATAATGAGAGAAATCAGTGACATTCTTGGGGAAAATACTGAGGTGACAAATAGGGATAAAATATTAATTTACAATCTCCGTTAAATTCTCTTTTTGCTTCCTTATCTTTAAGTTAGATTGTGCTTTTGTCTGTTCTCAAGTTGTTTTAGCATAATGCTTGAAAGGATTTGGTCCTTGGTAAGCTGTCATATTTCCATCTTTATATCTTTCTGTTTGTTAGGAATGCAGTTTTGGAGCCTTTTTCTGGGTGCTATTGATTTAAAATATGTTTGGTCCGATAAGCTGTTAGAAGTTATCATGAAATTCAAGCTTGGATGTTTCTGCACAATTGTTAAGATCTATCTCTATATTTTGCTTATCATCATGATGGTTGCCCATGCCATAGAGTTGTTGACTGCTGGGACTGACCATGCAGAAATGTGTTGTTAACTTTTTTAACGTAAGATATAATGGATTTTCATATAAACTGATGATTTATTTGGATATGAAACTAGAGATCGGGTTTGCATTGCCATGGATGGGGCCTTTTCAAGTGGCATGCCAATTGGAGTAAGACCTCATGAAGCAAAATATCTGTGCAAGAAATGACAGGACGATACTAGCTCTGCATCATTGTTTTCCCATATAAACTGGATTTATCTATTTGAATTTAAGCGCCTCATTGTGACGAAGAGTTTTGAAGAATGTGTAAGATTAGAAGCAAAAATATCTTAGATATTATTGTTTATTATAGTTAATAATGTTGAACTACATTATATTTTACGTTAATGTAAACTTTGATTTATTATTATGGATTTCATTTTTCTTGTTATGGATTTTAAGTTTGTTCTTATGGATGTCAAGTTTATTGGAAAATGCTACATGTTAAATTTGGGTAATAAAAGAGTAGAAAACAACATTTGACAAATTAGTTTTAATTTGCAAAATCAATTTCTTTTAGCTATAGAGAGGTAATTAGCGGCGTTTGTATCTTAAAACGCCGCTATAGATATGACCTTTTGCGGCGTTTGTTCTAAAAAAACGCCGCTATATACCAGATCTTTTGCGGTGTTTGTGGGGAAAACGCCGCTAAATCTCAACACCTATTGCGGCGTTTGTTGGAAAAACGCCGCTAAATATCAACACCTATTGCGGCATTTGTTGGACAAACGCCGCTATATATCGTTACCTATTGCGGCGTTTGTTGGACAAACGCCGCTATATATCGTTACCTATTGCGGCATTTTTTGTTACCAAACGCCGCGAACTTTAGCGACGCTATTTTCAGCGGCGCTTTTTGTGACGTTTTTCATAGCGCCGCAGGTGTTTTTTGCAGCGCTTAAAAAACGCCGCTATAGGTAAAAAAAACGCCGCAAATGTACAGTTTTGCTGTAGTGATTATCTGTTATTATTAATTTAATTTTTTTTCATATTTAATAAAATTATTCTTAAAAAATCTATAAATCTTGTGTTTGCATAATCTATATATGTTTCGATATTAAAATCTCTTAAACAGAATAAATAAGTCCTAGAAGAAATTATGTTTAAAATTTTGATTCAGTGTGATTTTAAAATAATTGAATCTAATGAGACTACCTTTTTACTATATAATAAAATTTTATGCTAATATATTATAAATTATCAATGATTAAAAAATTCTAAATATATATTATCTTGTTATTATTTTAAATTATTTAAAAAAAGTTATGTATACAAATGAGTAATGACCAAGGTTGATACATTAAAAATGAAAATTAGAGTAATGGCCAAGGAATGAACCGTTGTGTATGTTATTTTAAGGCTTGATGATTTATTCTTCTCGAATGTAATTATATCCTAGATATAAACAATAAAAACATCTTTAATAATCTATGGGTTAAATAATACTTTTGACCCCTGAAGTTTACCTTATTATCACTTTGGTACTTGAATAATTTTGTAACTATAGTGCACCTAGGAACCCAAGATTTTGTAATTCAGTCACCAAAAATCTTCAACTTTTACTAAGTTTTTCATTTGTTTCTATGGATATCTTTTGAAAGTTTCCGGATTATTATCGGGAGCGGATGCATTCTAACTTGTTATAAGTGCTGGACTGAAGAAAAGGTCATTGTTTGTCCTGAATACATAGTTCTGATGGTTCAATCTACATTTTTCCAGGAGGCTAAAAATGAGTGCAATGGTAATTTCTATAATCCACTCACTGAAACTTGCGAGAGCAAACTGGAAAAGTTGATCAGGTAATAGCCTGTTAAATTGCTTATTTACATTGATTAACCGGGAATGTTCCGATAGTTAGAATTTGCATTCTCTTTAATTCGATTCTAAACGTTTGATTAATTGCAGAACATAAGGGATTTAAACATGTACACCATCCTAGAACTTTGTTATCATAGACCCGAACACCCGAGACTATCAGACTACCTTCGAGCTTCTGGAAGCTTGGTGAGACCGACAGGCCTCTTTCTGTAAGGACAAGGATGTTTGGTCGTGCCTGGCCAATTAGAGCTCCTGTAAGAGATGGAATCATTCCAACGTGGCCACAACTTCTCAATAGCCTAAGTGTTCCGTGCACTGTAAGTTTAACTTATTCCATGTCAAGATTGCTTATTTGCAGCTTGTTTCAGTTAGTAGCTTTGCTCTTAAGGAGTTTAGTTTACAGTTTCATCTACTCTTTTTAGTCAAGATCCGACTCGTACAACCGATGTGGTTGTCCTTAATTATTTGTTATGCGTATCAAACTATCTTGTTGGGAGTATACTGATAATTTTACTTGAAATTTTACGAAAATTGCATAGGATGATGAAGTAGCAACAAAATGGGTGAATGACCCTGCAGTTAGGAAGACAATTCATGCTGAAACGTAAGCACTCTCAAAGTCATTATTCTCCTTGTTTTACCAAAAAAGAACAATAATTTATGATCCTTCGACACATAGGAGGCCGTGATCGGTGAATGGGAGTTATGTACGGACAACATCTTATATAATCATGATGTCGGTAGCATGATTAAGTATCACAAGAATCTTACTTCCAGGGGATATCGAGCACTCATATACAGGTTTCTTTTACTGCATTTCGGGTTTAAAGGCAAAACGAGTGCTCGATTTTCTGATAAATGGTTTGTATTCAACTTTTGTGGCAGTGGGGATCATGATATGTGTTCCATTCACCGGGACCGAAGCCTGGACAAGATCGGTCGGATATGAGATAGTGGATGAATGGAGGCCATGGACTTCCAATGGACAAGTTGCAGGGTAAATTCCGTCATTCCCCGGATCTCATGCTCAATCTGTTACTTGGGAATTGACTTTGAATTATCTTTTGGAATGCATTTGCAGGTATTTGCAAGGTTATGACCACAACCTGACCTTTTTAACCATAAAGGTATCAATCATTCGAGGATGCATCTTTAGAGAAATGTACTGAATTGTAAATTTATCAAATTCCCAGGTTTGATTCTAACCCTTTTTGGTGTGTATGAATACAGGGAGCAGGACACACAGTCCCAGAATATAAACCTCAAGAGGCCTTGGATTTTTACACCAGATTCCTTGCAGGGAAACCTATATGAAACAAATTTTCTTCTAATTTTTAAATTATAATTGCATGTTGATGATAGGTTATTCACATAATTTCTAAAATTGCATGTTGTTTCCTTTAGAATTAGTATCCATTTACATCTACGTTAATATTTTTAGTTATACCTCTTTTTATGATTGTTGGATGAGTACAAATAGATGATTAAGATTAAAAATGAGAAATAAGAAGATATTAAAAAAAAACAAGAATATAATCTCAGCCCTATTTTCACTCATCCAACTATCCTAAAAATTATAAAACTAAAAGTTTTAGGAGTAAGTGGATTCGAACCTATAATATGGAGAGGGAGAGACCTATAACAAGCACAACTTCTCTTGATACCAATTCTCCATCATGATTGGTTTTATGCATTCAGGCTGAGGCCTAAGGGAGCTATTTAGCAATTAACCCCCTTTTACCATGTACTAATAATGGCCGAAAATAGAATAAAGGTCAAATTATGGTTTTGGTATTATTCTCAAATTTGGGATTTAGTTCTTATACTTTATTCAAATAATGTAATTAGTTAGTCAAATAGTTAATATGTGAATTATTTCGATAAAAATGTTGATGAGATTAAAAAAACACTAACTCAAACTCACTAAAAAGATTACCAAATTGAAGTAAAAGGACTGAAACATAATTTGAACATGATAGAGGGACTAAAATCACGATCTAACCTAAATCAAATTATATTTTTCTTCTTTCTGAAAATATAGAAAGACATAAATATAAATACTGGGTTGAGATGCCTGAGCTTTAACCCGCTCTAACAAAACTCAGGAACCATTGATGAAATTTATCCAGGAAAAAAAAACAATGCCATTTATCCCAAAACTTTATTTTTCATTTTCTTAACGTGAAAAAAATAATTTTTATTCATAAAAGAAATATTTATTTTATTTAATAACTACAATATAAAATGGTTGAAATGGGAAGAAGTAAAAAGTGACTGAAAAGTACAGTGCAGTGGGCTTCAACAAAAATCGGCCCAATTCGAACCTTTTTCAACTATTACGGGTGAGTTGACTCAAACATTACCATCAAAGCGGAATCAGCAAAGAGCCATGGCTTCAACTTCAATATCAGTTAACCCCCGACGCTCCTACAACCATTTTACCAAAGGTGGCGGCGCTTCATTCAATGAAAATCGATTATGTTCCTTCACGTTTCAATCAGGCTTGTTGGGCTCCAAAATCCCAATGGATAAGCTTTCACTCTCAGTCAACGGAACCAGACCAACCCGACCAGAACCCATCCGTTTTTCGTGTTCGGAATCGATGAAGGCTTCTTCCCGTTCTTTCGACGTCGTGATTGTTGGTGCTGGAATCATCGGGTTGACAATCGCCCGGCAGTTTTTAACCAAATCGAATCTATCCGTTGCGGTCGTTGATAAGGCCGTACCTTGCTCTGGAGCCACTGGTGCAGGTAAACCCATGTTTTTAGAACTGTTATCGTCCTCACCCCGACCGGCCCAATTTTTTTACTTCTCATTTCCTAAACTCCTATTGGGTGTAGGACAGGGCTACATATGGATGGTACATAAAAATCCTGCAAGTGATACATGGGAACTTACTAAAAGAAGTCACCAACTATGGAAGAAGTTGGCTGAGACGATTCGCGACCAAGGCATGGACTCGCTTCAAGTATTGGGTTGGAAGAAGACAGGTATTAAGTTACATAATTATTGCATAGCATTTTCGTAGGTTGGTGTTCGGTTTCTTTGCGCATTCTTCTGTTATCTGTTTTTAACAGTTGAAATTTTTATTTGGAACATGGTGTTTTGAGCTGTAGGAAGCTTGCTTGTTGGTAGAACTCCTGAGGATTCAGTTATGTTGAGAAAGAAAGTGAGTCAGCTGTCTGAAGCTGGGTTGAGAGCAGAGTATTTGTCCAGTGATGAACTGCATTCCAAGGAACCTTCCATTTATGTTGGTACGGATGGTGGGGCTGCTTTTGCACCTGAAGATTGCCAGTTGGATGCTCATCTCGCAGTTTCATATATTGAAAAGGTGTCTTTATTATTATTCTTTTAGTTTTGTAACAGCATATGACGTAATGATTGCTTGGACGTTAGCATATTCCTTTTGTGTAGGTTAACAGATCCTTTGCACCGAAAGGTAGATATGCAGAGTTCTATCATGAGCCGGTTACAGGTTTAGTGAGGTCTGTCGTTACTTTTCTGCAGTACATTCATGATGAGATGAAGATACATAACATATTTGTGTATCAGTATTCGGGTCCTTGTGTAACTTTTCTAGCTCATGTTGTTCAGATCTACTAGTAGTGGGGAGTACGAAGCTGTTCGGACTTCCAATAACACATTGTATGGTAAGGCCATTATAGTTGCTGCCGGTTGTTGGAGTCGGTCTCTTATGCATGACCTGTTGAAAGACTCAAATGTTAAATTTGATGCCCTTGTAATGCCTCGTAAGGTGAGAATCCAAGATATAATGAATTCGTATAATTTAAGTTTTCATATTTCATCTGTCTATTATGTATATATTTTGGTGAATGGACCTATATATATGCAATTCTTTGATATGTCATGGTGATATTTTGGTAATGAGATTCTGTGATGCATCTTCCATGATTAATTTTTTGTTTTAAATGTAATATTTGCCTTATCTTTGATATCCACTACAGGGTCATCTTCTTGTGATTGAGAATTTTAATCCCCTTCAACTGAATCATGGTTCGATGGAGGTTGGTTACATCGATTATCAAAATGCAGCGTTTACTTCAGGGCAGAATGATCAGAGCCAAACCTTGTCTGTTTCAATGACATCAACAATTGACACAGTGGGTAATCTTGTTCTAGGTATAATGTTACACTTGCTATTCTCAGTGCTTGGCTTTTAAATGTTCGTCGAAACATGGTGAAATGATAATTTTGGTTTGGAAAAGGAAAAGAAGCATAAGAGTGCATTGAATTTGAACTTCATAATGTTTGTTTTCCTGATCTTAACAAAGTCTGTAGATTCTAACATCCAGATCTTATTGTTACATTATCTGATTGATGAAAATACCTTATACTTCTTGGTATTTCCCCATACCTCTGTAAAACAGAATGCAAAAATGAGCTTTATTATGTACATCTTTTGTTCCAGTTGTTCTTTGTGTTCATGTCCAGTTGATCATGTTAATTTGTTGTTGTACTTGTACATGCTTTTTCCGTAAATTTAATCCATCATAGGAAGCAGCCGTCAGTTTGCTGGGTTCAGCACCGAGGTAGATGACTCTATCGTTCTTCATATATGGAAACGGGCTGGAGAGTTCTTTCCCAAACTAAAAGAACTGCCCCTTACAGATTTCGTCAAGAACAGAAAAGTGAGAGTAGGACTACGCCCCTACAGTAAGTCCATATGTATTCTGTCACACAGAATATTCCATACCATTGGGATACTCAGCTAATTTGAAATTTATACATGTAGAACAGATTGATCAAACATAAAAAATTACTGAAACAATGTCTTTACTTATATATCAGTGCCTGACGGAAAGCCGGTCATAGGACCAGTTCCTGGTCTGTCAAACTTGTTCTTTGCAACTGGTCATGAAGGAGGAGGGCTGTCTATGGTAACTTCCTGTATTCTGGAAACTTTTATATTGTTCCATTTTGGAATAGACAATGCGGGTCTTTCCTAGGTTGTTTGCACTCGAATCAATGAATTGGCGATAAGTTTATTCGTCATGTTTGTTTAATTTTCAGGCTTTGGGAACTGCAGAAATGGTTGTTGATATGGTATTGGGCAATCCCACATATATTGATAATTCACCATTTGCTGCAAAGGGTCGATGTTGTTAGTTCAGTGTCCCTATGGAACAGTAAGAAGGAAAAACATCAAGGACGCCCGGTCTAATTGGACCAAATGTTAAGCTGCTGGTTGGACTTTGAACCCTTTTTTTTCGTTGCAAATGTAAAATGTAAACTACCAAAATAAGCGAAACTTTTAACTTTAGAAAATCAAGCTTGTGAACTCTATGATTTCCGGGGAAATAAAGGTTGTACTCAAAGCTCGAGTTTAGTATAAAGTGGTAAATATAAAACTTTGGTTAAATGTTTCATGCGATGCATGCAAATATGATTCTGTGTGATTGTATAAATGAGGTTTTGATTTGATTCAATTTAATTTTTATAAATTATTGAATTTCTTGTTGACGAAGTATGGTTTTATGTTATTATATTGTATATAAATAATTTTATTTATTTAACATAAAGAATAATATATGTATTTATTTTTAAAAGATTTAAATTTAAATAAAAACAAAGAATTTGTATAATTTTATTAAATTAAAATTGTATTTTATGTTTCAATTGAAATTTGTAATTTACCCAAGAGTTATAATGGAACCCACCTAGCAAACGAAAGCTCCGATTAGCCGAACCAAATTGCTTAAAACAAAATAAACACTGAAGCTCCCCTCAAATCTCTCTCTACCTCTTCCCCCAAAATGGCAATTTCGACGCTCCAAAACTAACCTCCCAAATCCACCGTATCCCCTCACTCTCCTCCCATATCCTCACCCGATCCTCCGCCTCCTTAACCGCCCCCGCACCCTCCTCCAGAAAAGTTGCCGACCGGATAGTCAAGCTCTTCGCCATCGACCCTGAAGGCCATAAGCGTGAGGTTGTGGGTCTAGCGGGTCAGACCTTACTTCGTGCCTTGACTAACTGTGGGCTCATCGACCCAGCCTCTCACCGCCTCGAGGAGATCGACGCTTGCTCCGCAGAGTGCGAGGTCAACATCGCCCAGGAGTGGCTCGAGAGGCTTCCGCCGCGTACCTACGACGAGGAATATGTGTTGGTGAGGAATTCCAGGGGTCGTATCTTGAACAAGCATTCCAGGCTTGGATGTCAGGTCGTGCTCACTCCTCAGCTCCAAGGTATGGTCGTCGCTGTTCCCGAGCAGAAGCCCTGGGATATTCCATAAATTTTATAGGAAAAAAACAAAACATTAATGAGGAGATTTTTAACGTATTTCTGTTGTTTTTGTGGAAGTAAGAATAATTTTGTTACCTTGAAATAAACGAATTTTATTTCTGATTTTTGTGCATTGCTGCCCCATGTTACTTGG